TGGACTTTTAAAAAATTCAGTATGACAGTCTCTACCTTTTAAGTGGAATTCTTTACCCTGTTTAATGTTTAATGTTATTATCAGTGTGGGTGATTTTGAATCTACCATCTTGTGATTTGCTTTCTATTTTTCCACGTGTTCATTGTTCCTTTTTCCTTCTTTCCCTAATTTCTTTGAGATTAATTGTGCATTATTAATGATTCCAGTTTCCCTATTATTGGCTTATTTGCTACCTTGTGTGTTTATGTGGTTGCTCTCGGCTTTAAAATGTAAATCTTTAACTTAACACAGTCTACCTTAAAACAATATTTTATCACTCGTATATTTTAAGAATCTTAAATAATTTTTTCCATTTCTCTTTAGTCTTTGTGCTGCTGTTGTCATATATTTTGCTTTTCTATAATTATAAAACCCATGCTGTTAATGTTTTTCTTTAAACAATGATTTTGTAAAAAGAATTCAAGAAATAGAAATATATATTGATCTTGTATCCTGTAACATTGCCCAACTTGTTTATTCTAATTGTTTTTTAGTGGATTCCTTAGAATTCTTGCTACATAAGACATTATCATTTGAGACTATAGATTTACTTCTTTCTTTCCAATCTGGATAAAATTTTATTTCTTTTTCTTGCCTTATTGGCCCAGCTAGAATGTATAGTATAATAGTGAATAGAAGTGTTGAGAATGAATATCCTTGTCTTGCTTGTGATCTTAGCAGGAAAGCATCCAGTCTCTGATCATTAAGTATGATATTAGTTGTGGGGTTTTCTTAGAAGCCCTTTATCAGGTTGAGGAAGTTCCATTCTATTCCTAGTTTGTTGACTGTTTTTATCATTAAGAGTGTTGAGTTTTGTCTTACTGCTTTCTGTGTCTATTAATAGGTGAGCATGTGGTTTTTTTTTTTTTTTAGATTTTTATTTATTTATTTTTCCCCCAAAGCCCCAGTAGGTAGTTGTCTGTCATAGCCGCACATCCTTCCAGTTACTGTATGCGGGACGCAGCCCCAGCATGGCTGGAGAAGCGGTGTGTCGGTGCGCGCCCGGGATCCAAACCCGGGCTGCCAGCAGCGGAGCGCGCGCACTTAACCGCTAACCCACGGGGCCGGCCCTATCATGTGGTTTTTATTTTTTATCCTATTGATATGGTGAATTACATTGATGGATTTTTGGATGTTACACAAACCTTCCATTCCTGGGATAAATCCCACTTGATCATGGTGTATAATATGTTTAATATGTTCCCAGATTCAGTTTAGTAGTATTTTGATGGAGGTTTTTTGCATCTGTATTCATAAGAGATACTGGTCTGTTGTTTGCTTGTGATGTCTTTATCTGGTTTTGCTATCAGGGAAGTGCTGGCCTCATTGAATGAGATAGGAAGTGTTCTCTTTTCTATTTCTTGGAAGAGTTTGTGAAGAATTAGTAATAGTTCTTCAGATGTTTGGTAGAATTCAGCAGTAAAGCCATCAGGGCATGCATGGGCTTTTCTTTGTGGGTAGTGTTTTGATTACTGATTCAATCTCTTTTTATAACTCTATTCAGATTTTCTATTTCTTCTTGAGTTAGTTTCTGTAGTTTGTGTCTTTCTATGAATTTGTCCCTTTTATCTAAGTTATGTAATTTATTGGCATATAATTGTTGCTAGTACTCCTTTTTAATCATTTTTATTTCTGTATAGTCAGTAGTAATGTCCCCTCTTTCATTTCTGATTTTAATAATTTGAGTCTTTTCTCTTTTTTCCCTGGTTAATCTAGCTAAAGATTTGTCAATTTTGTTGATCTTTTCAAAGAACCAACTTTGGTTACACCAATTTTCTCTTTCTGTTCTTTATTTCATTAATTTCCAATCCAATATTTATTATTTCTTTTCTTGTGCTTGCTCTAGGTTAGTTTGCTCTTGTTTTTCCTTTGTTTGAAAATGGAAAGTTAGTTTATTGATTTGAGATCTTCTTTTTTAATATAGGTGTTAATATATCTATAAATTTCCCTCTAAACACTGTTTTTGCTTCATGCTATAAGTTGTGGTATGTTGTGCCATCATTTTCAGTCATCAAAATGTATTTTCTAATATCCTTTGTAATTTTCTCTTTGACCAGTTATTTAGTAATGTGCTGTCCAATTTCCACATATTTGTGAATTTCCCAAATTTCTTTCCGTTATTGATTTCTGATTTCATTCCATTGGAGTCAGAGAAGATACTCTGTATTATTTCTATACTTTAAATTTATTGAAGTTTGTTTTGTGGCCTAATAAATGGCCTATCCTGGAGAATGTTCCATGTGCATTTCATTTAATTAATTTTTATTGAGGTAATTTGGTTTATAACATTGTATAGATTTCAGGTGTACAACGTTATATAATTCATATACTATAGTGTGTCCACCATCAAAAGTGTAGTTTTCATCCATCACCCTAAAATTGACCTCCTTTACCTTTTTCACCCTCCCCCACCCCATGTGCATTTTAGAAGAATGTGGATTCTGCTACTGCTGGGTGGGGTGTGCTGTATATATCTGTTAGGTCTAGTTGGTTTATAGTGTTGTTCAAATCCTCTGTTTCGTTACTGATCTTCTGTCTAGTTAGAAAGTGTGATAGTGAAGTTTCCAACTATTATTGTTCAATTGTCTATTTCTCTTTTCACTTGTCAGTTTACACTTCACGTATTTTGGGGCTCAATTCTTAGGTGCATATATGTTTATAATTGTTATAGTATCTTCCTGACGGGTTTACCCTTTTGTCATGGTAAAATGTCTCTCTTCAACTCTAATAACATTTTTTAATTTAAAGTCTATTTTGTTTGATATTATTATGGTTTTCTTATGGTTGCTGTTTGCATAAAATATCTTTTTCTAGGGGCCGGCCTGGTGGTGCAGAGGTTAAGTGTGCACGCTCTGTTTCGGCAGCCCGGGGTTTCGCGGGTTTGGATCCCAGGCGCGCACCAACACGGCACTTGTCAAGCCATGCTGTGGTGGCATCCCATATAAAGTGGAGGAAGATGGGCATGGATGTGAGCCCAGGGCCAATCTTCCTCAGCAAAAAAGAGGAGGATTGGCAACGGATGTTAGCTCAGGGCTGATCTTCCTCACACACACACACACACACACACACAAAATATCTTTTTCCATCCCCTTACTTTCAACATCTTTGTATCTTTGAATATAATATGTATCTCCTTTGGCAGCATATAGTTGAATATAGTTGGATCTTTTTTTTTATTCTAGTCTGACAATCTCTGCATTTTGTCTGGATTGTTTAGTTCTTTCACATTTAATGTTTTTATTGATATAGTTGGATTTTTCTTTGCCATTTTGCATTTTGTTTTCTCATATTTCTCATATCTTTGTCTCCTCTGTTCCTCTTTTACTGTTTTGTTGTGTTAATACTTTATAACTTTAATCCTTTAATGATATTTCACTATATGTTTTAGAGTTTATTTTCTTGGTTGTTGCTCTAGGGATTACCATATACACCTGAACTTATCAGATTCTACTTCAAATTTATTAACTTCAGTGACATATAGAAAAGTTACTCCTATGTAGCTTTTATTCCTTCCTGCCTGTGTGGTGTTATTGTTATACATATTACATCTCTATATGTTACAAACCCAACAATACATTGTAATGATTATTACTTTATATAATTTTACATTTTTTAAAGAAGCTGAGACAAGAAAGAACAACCTGTATATATTTATAACATTTATTATATTAACCTTTTTATTTACCATTTTTGAGTTACCATCTGGTGTCATTTCCTTAGTTTAGTACAGCTTTGCTCCCACCTACTTCTTTTGTGCTTTCATTGGAAAGTATAAAAATATATTTGTGTATATTAGAAACCCAGCATTACATATATGTACACATTGTTTTATACAGTTACTTTTTTTTTGTTTTTTTGTGAGGAAGATCAGCCCTGTGCTAACATCTGCCAGTCCTCCTCTTTTTGCTGAGCAAGACTGGCCCTGGGCTAACATCTGTGCCCATCTTCCTCCACTTTATATGGGACGCCGCCACAGCATGGCCTGATAAGTGGTGCATCGGTGTGCGCCCGGATCCAAACCCAGGCCACCAGCAGCAGAGCGCCTGGACTTAACCGCTACACCATGGGGCCAGTCCCTACAGTTACTTTTTAAATCAATCAAGAGAACTTTCTTTAGTGTAAGGTGAGTCTGCCAGCAACAGAATCTCTCAATTTTTGTTTATCTCAGAATATTTTTATTTGGCTTTCATCTTTGAAAGATAATTTTCCTGAATATATGATTCCTGGGTAATAGTCCTTTTGAGTAGTTTGAGTATATCACCGCATTGCCTTCTGGCATGTATGGTTTCTGATGAGAAATCTCATTGAGAATCCCTTGCCTTTCCAGTCTGGAAACACAAACTTCCCACTTCTGTGTGTTTTGGTGATTTTTCATTCTACTTCTTTCTGATAATTCTTTCCTCAACCTCAGGTAGTTTCCTCACATGCATCCATATTTTGGTACCCAATCAAAGATTGAAGGGGACCCTTTTGTAGATCTCTCTCAGTGCAGCTATTTTTTATTCTGTATTGAAACTTACCGGGCTGTAAGATATAGTCGTAGTGCTCCTCATTGTTTCCCTTTTTTCCTGAATTCCTAACCTGCATCGCCTTTTGTCCCATGTCTAAAAAGCCAAAGTTTTATATATTTTGTATTGTTTTTGAGTTGTTTGATGTGAGAGGGTAAATTGGTTCCTTTTACACGTACATCATGGCCAGAATTAGAATCTCCATTTGGTTTTTTGAAACCCAGTAAATGTGGATCGTTATTAAAATTTATTGTTATTTAGGCTTTTGATTTAGGGATTTAAGGAGATTGATGTCTTTTGAGCATCTGAAAATGTTTTTGTTTTCACCTCCCCAAAGAAAGGGTCAAGTGAGTATCGTTCCTCTGCCACTTGTGCAGCCGCACCTTCCTTCACATTCAGGATCATCAAAGCCCAAGCAGTGAACCCATATCCTAAATTATTTTCCATTTACAGGGTATTGCCTTATAAAACCAGAAGTGATTTTCAAGTTGGAGCAAGGAGAAGACCCATGGTTATTAGAGGATGAATTTCTAAACCAGAGTTATCGAGGTGAGTTTTGGAGTACTGGCAGAGGGTCTCTCTGGAAAACTAAATCCAAAATGGGATCAAAGGTGGGCACCTTCGGAAGTTTACAAATGAGTAGATCCAATAAAATGTGGGTGTGGAGGGTGTAACATAAGGTATACAATGTAATCATTTTCATTTTTTCATCTTTTAAACTAGGCGGCAGAGTATGTCATTTATATCTGACAAATCAAGTAATCAGTTTATATGCAAAGTTAAATACTAAGGAAGAGTATAAAAGCAACTAAAACAGGTTAAAGGATGGGAAAAGTGAGAGAGGAGATACACTAATTTGGTGAGTGGTTGTGTAGTAGGAAATCACTAGGTGCTGTCTAATTAATAAATAATCAAGAATCATGTAAGATTTATAATTATAAATATAACTACTATAAATGTACTAGTATAAATGCACAAATACAACCTTTCTCATTATTAGAAGGAAAACCCAGTTAATAGTACAAAGAAAACAGAACTATCACTGAAAAGGTTTTTTGTTAAAAAAATAAAAAATAAAAAAACCTATATAGGGGCCGGCCCCGTGGCTTAGCAGTTAAGTGCACGCGCTCCGCTACTGGCGGCCCGGGTTCGGATCCCAGGCGCGCACCAATGCACCACTTCTCCGGCCATGCTGAGGCCGCGTCCCACATACAGCAACTAGAAGGATGTACAACTATGACATACAACTATCTACTGGGGCTTGGGGTGGGGGGGGGAAGGAGGAGGATTGGCAATAGATGTTAGCTCAGAGCCGGTCTTCCTCAGTAAAAAGAGGAGGATTAGCATGGATGTTAGCTCAAGGCTGATCTTCCTCAAAAAAAAAAAAACAAAAAAAACGTATGTAAACGTTAACGTATGTAAACAGCATAACTTAAAGTAAGATGGTTGTATCTGTCATATCAATGTAGATGGGTTAAAGTCACCTATTAAGAGAAAATGGTATGAGGTTGTATCAAAGAGATATACCTGAAAATAATTTGGAAAGTTTAAAAATATGAAATACTTAATATTAAGGCAATATACCTAAAATAATTCAGGCTTAATTTATGTAACTATTGGACAGTGTTTTGATTCACATCAAAATTCATAGAGTAATAAAAAGGATACTTTTTTAGTAAAGCTAAAGAACATAGTTTAAAAAGGAGATGCAAAAGTTGCAAATACCTATGTGCCAATTAAATTATCATCAAGATTCGTAAGATAAAAACTGCAAGAGATATGAGGAGAAATAGGAACACATTAGATATTATAGACCTCTATATACCACTCTGATTTCATACCAGATACAGTGGACAACAACTGAGTTCTGGAACATGAGTTGATAAATTGTGCTCCTGGCACTAAGTCCAGCTAGCTGCCTGTTTTTGTAAATACAGTTTTTGGAACTTAGATATTTGTTTGCACATTGATTATGGCTGCTTTTGTGGACAACAAAGTGGTGACTAGTTGTGACTGAGATCATATGGCCTGCAATGACTAAAATATTTACCATTAGGCCCTTTACAGAAGAAGTTTGTTGACCCCTGCTCTAAAAGATATGAGTAGCATATTTTATGACATGAGTCTGATACATATTTATCTGTCTTTCATATTCTGTACTCTGAAAACATAGTATATACCTTTGTAGTGTCAATGGAATAACTAAACTTGAGTATTTATGGGTGAAAAGCAAACAGCAATAAATTCTGCAAAGTTAAAGTAACATAGTTTAGTAAAACTAGAAATTGTAGACAATATGAGAAAAATTAAAATCCCTCCATCTGTAAATAAAAAATATGTATATATCTTTGAAAAATCTGTTTGATCAAGGGGAACATCAAAACCAAAAATAAAAACATAAAATGCATTTGTAAACTTGTGTTCAGAGGTCTCTAAGAACTGAGAAAAGCTGCTATATTCAAGCTTACAGTTTATTACGGTAGAAGAATACAGATAAAATCAGCAAAAGTAAAAGGCACATAGAGCAGAATCCAAGAGAGACTAGAGGCAAACTTCCCATTTTCTTCTCCCAGGGGACTTGTCTGAACAGTGCTTAATTCTGCCAGCAGCGGTGTGTGACAACATACATGAAGTATTGCCAACTAAGCAAGTTTACCCAAGCTTGAGTGTCCAAGGTTTTTATTGGGGCTCAGTCATGTAGGCCTGGAGCACCTATGTGACTGACCTCAGTTACTCAGGCTCTAGCCCCTCCAGAGATCAGACTGATACGGTGTGGCCCAAGGCTCCCACCATAAATCACATTGTTAGTCTGAACTATCTGGCGTGGTACAAGGCCCCCAAGTATGTAAAGACACTGCTGTCAGGCAGGATATTCCAAGGACTTAAAAATTATCTCCCAGGAGTTGGTCAAAGGCCAGTCATTTCTTTGGAATGTGCAGGGTTTGACCACCCCAAACCTGCTGAATTAACCCTTTATTGCACAGAACTTTTGGGCTATGGGTATGGCATTGCTTAGTGGAAAATTTGAAGAATGAGGAATTTTGAGAAGACTAAGCAAAGCAGAAGTAATTTATTTAAAAAAAAATTAATTGGAAAACTATAATGGTATAAATTAAATAAAAGTGAAAACATGGTTCTTGGAATAAAAATTAAATAAAACCCATTACATTAGTTAGCCTATGCTGGAAAAAGGAGAGAATGCATTATATAAGAAGTTACAATGCAAACATACCTAGAAATACAAATATTGAATGCAAATGCAAATATTGAAATTTTGGAGAGCAACGTGAAATAAAGGGAAATAGCATGTTCATAGATTGGAAGACTATTTTAAAATTCTTAGTTGTCACCAATTTGTTTAAACATGTTTGAAGAACAGGATGGTGTAGGATTTTTTCTAACAGGTATTAAAGATATATTGTAAATCTATTGTAACTGGTACAGAATGGTACTGGTGTGGGGATAATTATAGTCCTTTGAAACAGAATAGAGAGCCCAGAAACAATTCATGCTTTAATGACAACTGATTTATGAACAGGGTGACAGTGCAGAAAGCCACAAAAGCCATTTATATGAACACTGGCCCAACTTTATACTCTACCACAAAAGTTAATTTTGGGTGGACTAAAGGCTGAATTGTATGAGGCAAAACTAAATATTTTAGGAGGAAATATGGGAGAAAATTTTTATTACTCTGTGTAGGGAAAATTTAAAACCACAGAAACATTTAATATATAAGAAAAATCTTTACTGAAATTCACAATTTTTTGACATCATAAAAAGCATGAAAAGAGAAGCCACACTGTAGCAGAATCTATTTGTGATATGTTAAATCAAACAGGACTAATATTTAGATTGTAAGAAGAAATTCTGCAAATCTTTGAGGAAAAAGGCAGGCAACCCAGCAGAAAAATGGGCATAAGATTTAATAAGGAACTTCCTCAGTGGAAATCCAAATGTCAGATAACAGAGGAAAACGTATTTAACCTCATCAGTTGTGAAAACATGCAAATGAAACTGCAGCATGCCACCACTAAACATTTATTGATGCAATTGGCAGAAATTCTGAGTCTCACACTATCAGGAGTTGGTGAGGATGTGGAACACCAAAGAACCTCATTCACTACTGCAGAATTGAAATTGGTACAATCACTTTTTTTTTTTTAAGACTTTTTAGAACAATTTTAGGTTCACAGCAAAATTGAGCAGAAGGCACAAATATCTCTCATATAGCCCTTCCTCCCACACAAGTGCAGTCACTTTGAAATGGTGGACATTATCTAGTAAAGGTAAAGATATCCATACCCCGTGTTATGCTGTTCTGCTCCTAGGTATATACTCTTGAGAAAGGTATGCTTCTGTGTTCCAGGAAGACTAGGAAAATTTTTTCCCCCCACAATGAAAACAAGCAAATACCCATGAACAGATGAATGAAGAAACAAATTGTGGTGCATGTATTTAATGGAACATAAATTATACAGAAATGGAAATTTCCAAGTTACGGCTACAAGCAAATACATGAATGAACCTCACAAACAATTTTGAACAAAAGAAGCAGTGATTCCATTTGTGTAAAATTAAACTATTTTCTTGTAGGGTTGCCTGTACAGGTTGTAAAAGTATAAAGAAAAGTGAGGAAATGATTTTTATGGAATGTATGAGAGAAGAGATCTCTCAGTGTGAAGGAAGTCGTGCCCAAGAATGACAGTGTGAGGTCTCTTGGAGCCAGTCATTTTATATATCATGAACTTGATGGTGGTTATATAGGAGTTTGCTTTATGCCATTTGTTAACTTATACAGAAGAGATTTGTGTGTATTTGTTTTAGTTTTCGTGTTTTAAAAGCTAGAAAAGGACAAAGTAACGAGGGGGAGATACTTGCTACATGTATTCCTCAAATGTGTTTGTTTCTATAAAAGAATTCACATCTTGTCTTGTCCCTTTCTCAGTATGGCCTTCCAGGACCACCTGTTTATAATGGCACTCTTCATCTCAAGCAGTCCATTTCTCCTTTTATTTTTCTCCTAAGCACTTATCAGCTCTTCTTACTTCTGAAATCATATTGCAAAATCTCCACTTAGCTGTCCTGTTTGAACATTTTAGAGGGACTACTCTCTCCCACATGTTTTCTTCTTCTTTTGGTGGTACGAGTCATGATTCCTGGAAGCAGTCCCACCTTTGATTTGAGCATACTTTTGTCTGTGCTTCCCTAAGTGCTTATTCACATTTAGTTGGCCTGGTTTATAGTTGTAAAGTGCCTCACATATAATAAGGCGTGGAATAGGCATACAGTGGATATTTGTGAGTGAATGAATTTTGATTCTCAGACACTCTCTCCTGCTGTTTTGTCTCTGAACACTGTTCTCTGTGTCAGCTCTTCTTCCTGTGCAGTAACTCGCTACATGCCTCATCCATCTCCATAATTGAAGCCTTTTGCTTTATCCTGATGAATTTGTCCCACCTTCAGGGCAGCTGTACTTGAGTGTTCTGGCCCCTTTATTTTCAAAATGGCCAAATGAAAACTAAGTTTTTCTCTCACAACTCAAAAAT